GAAGCGCCAGGAGGCCTCGGAAGGCAACAGGAGGCCCCGAGAGGCCCCAGGAGCAGGAGGCCTCAGAAGGCAACAGGAGTGGCTCCAATCCCATGTGTTTTACGTATGCTCCTATCGATTGGGCCTCACCTGGAGCACGATTCTTTGATGTTCTACGTATGTTCTATAGATGGTCCTTCTCCTGTGTACACAATCCTAAATGTTTTACTCATGTTCCTATGTATTGGGCCTCTCCTGGGGCACGAGTCCTTGGTGTTTTACGCGTGTTCCTATAGATTGCCCTTCTCCTATGGCTCTAATCCGCACTGTTTTATGTACGTCTGTTGCTATAGATTGCGCCTCTCCTGGGGCACGAAACCTTCCTAGGAGGTCCCAGGAGGTCCCAAGAGGCTCCTGGAGACCCCAGGAAGCCCCAGTAGGTTTCAGGAGGCCCCAGGAGGCCCCAGGCTCATGCACAGAGACGCGCTCGTACTACTGAGGCTCATTCACACTCCAATTCATTCGCAGTTAGATTGATGTCCAGACCGTCACAACTGAAGCCCGTTAATATTCGAAAGCTCTTGCGCCTAGACATTCACGGCGGACAGGTCCATGCGAGTAGATGCACATATGGGGAGCTCCACGCAGTGAATAATTTTGGGGGCCGAGATCCTTTCATTTCTGGCTGTTTTATCCTGGGCCTCTTCCTGGCCACTAAGCGGGCCAGGAACAAGCCGAAGCGAGCACAATCAGAAATGAGCACGATTGGAAATCAACAACGTGTAACGGGGCCGCGTCTTCGGTCAGGCGGCTGTGCTGTCGCCGTCGCCGCCCCGTCGCCGCTTCGTCGCCGCCCGCCGTCTGGGCCGAGTCTTCGGTCTGGCGGCTATGTCGTCGCCGCCGCCGCCCCGTCGCCGCCTTGTCGCCGCTTCGTCGCCGCCGTTAGACTGCACCACGCAGATTCTCCTTTCTAAAAAGAGAATAGACTCTTACCCCCCCCCCGGACTTATCGGTTCCCCTTGGGATAATATGATTTCATATATATATATTCTGCACACCCGTCCATCCTAAATATTAAATCGTACCATCCCAGCCAGGCCGGGTTCCCCCCCTGAGGTTCCCTTGTGAGAAACACTATGCGGCGACATTTTTTGTTCTAACATAACACTTTTTCACGAATCCCTTGCAACAAATGAGACGAAGTGCACACGCGCGCGTCGTCGCGCGCGTATGCCGAAATCCTTCAACAAACTTCGGTGCGGGAGGGATTTCGCAATCGAGTTTCCCAAAAACATACAAAAACACAGGGTTTCGCAACACAGAGTTGCTAAACAAGCTTCCGCGAAAGCTCTTGCGAAATCTTAAGAAAACCATAGGTTTTTCAAGATTTTCACATAATGCTACCAAGCGGGCTTCGCGCGCGCTCATGTCGAAATCTGTCGAACGCCCTTGCGCGTGTGCCGTCGCGAGAATCCCCTGCAAAAAATGGGACGAAGTGCAGACGCGCGCGTCGTCGCGCGCGTATGCCGAAAACCTTCAAAACCCATCGGTTTCGGAAGGATTTCAAAATCGTGTCCAAAAAACCTACAAAAACACAAGGTTTCGCAACACGGATTTTCAACGAAAGCGTGCGCGCGCGCGCGCTCTTGCGTCGTCGTCGTCGTCGTCGTCGCCGTCCTCTCTCCTCCTGTGTCGTTGTCGTCGTCGTCGTCGCCTACGTCGTCCTCCGTCTTTCCTCGTGTTCGTCGTCGTCGTCCTCTTTGGCGTCGTGGTCGTTTCCGTCGTCGTTGTCGCCGTGGTCGTCCTTCCTCCTCCTCCCTCGTCGTCGTCGTCGTCCGTCGTCGGCGTCTCGTCGTCGTCCCTTCTATTTCGTCGCCGTCGTCGTTGTCGTCGTTGTCGTCGTCGTCGTCGTCGTCGTCTTCCCTCCTCCCTCGTCGTTGCCATCGACGGCGTCGCCGTCCTTCCTCCTTCTTCGTCGTTCGCGTCGTCGCCGTCCTCCCTCCTCCCTCGTCGTTGTCGTCGTTGTCGCTGTCGTCGTCCGCCCTCCTTCCTCGTTGTCTTCGTTGGCGACGTCGTCGTCGTCTTCGTCGTCGTCGTCGGCGTCGGCGTCGTTGTCGTTTTCGTCGTCGTCGACGTCAGCGTCGTCGTCGTCGCCGCCGTCGTCGTCGTCGTCGTCGTCGTCGTCGTCGTCGTCGGCGTCGTTGTCGTCGTCGTCGTCGGTGTCGTCGTTATCGTCGTCGTCGGCGTCGTCATCGTCGTCGTCGTTGTCATCGTCGTCGTCGTCGGCGTCGGTGTCGTCGTCGTCGTCGGTGTCGTCGTCGTCGTCGTCGTCGTCGTCGTCGTCGTCGTCGTCGTCGTCGTCGTTGTCGTCGTCGTCGAAGTCGTTGGAGCGGTCGTCGGTGTCGTCGTACTCGTTGTCGGCGTCGTCGTCATCGTCGTTGTCGCTGTCGTCGTCGGCGTCGCTGTCGTTGCCAAGTGCCATTTTGTACCCACCGTCACGGTCTTGCAAACCAAGTTGCGGGTGGGTGGGTGGGATGTTTGCGCGAGCAGTGGAGTCGACAACTTACTGCGAACAGAAATTAATTGCACCGCGTATATTGCACCACATCGATTGCCCCACATAGATTGTCGCACATGGATTGCGCGATTCTTTGTTTTCGCGTCTGCGGCCCGCTTTCTCGTCGCCCGCAACACATATTGCACTACAGATGTTGCGGACATACAGTGCACCACATACATTGCTCAACGTATATATTGCGCAACATCGATTGCACCACATAGTTTGTATTTGATAAATTGCACATCGTAGGTAACACCACGTTTTTTGCACAGCATATGTTGCGCAACCTGGATTCTCTATTCTAGGCAGGAGAAAGGACCTACCGCCCCGCTAGGGGATGGTGCAACATACAGCTGATTTTGCCTCATCGTTCACTCTGAATACGGTTCCATAGGATCTCAGCCAAACTGGTATCGACACCCCTTTTCGTCCCTTGCCAAAGACAATGCGCGCGCACTTCCTCATCGTCAGAGATTATTTCAGTAATCCCTTGCACAGCATGGGACGGCATGCGCGCGCGTCGTCGCGCGCGCATGCCGAAATCTTTCAACAACCTAAGGCTTCGCAAGGATTTCGGAATCGGGTGCCCCGAACACATATAAGACACCAGAAGTTTTGCAACAGGAAGTTGCCGCGGGCAGCCCCGCCGCGCCAGAACGGCGCTGGGCCTGGTGGGGCGCGCCCTCGCCGCTGCCCCAGCGCGTTGCCAACGCCATCGGCGCCCCACGGTCGCGGGAGGGCGCTCCTCGGCCGCGCGCCGCGAATCCGCGGGTGCCTCCCCCTCTGCGAGGCGGTGCTGCTCACCCGGCGACCTGTGGTCGAACCCGGCAGCGCCAAGGAGTCGCTTGGCGGCCCCGTCTCCCGCCGCTGCGGGCCCGCCCGAGCGACGGCAGCGAGGGGAGGAGGAGGAGGAGGAGGAGGAGGAGGAGGAGGAGGAGGAGGAGGAGGAGGAGGAGGAGGAGGAGGAGGAGGAGGAGGAGGAGGAGGAGGAGGAGGAGGCCCCCACGCCAGGGAGCGCGCGCAGGGGGGGGGGCCGAGGCCGGACCGCGGCCCCTCGGGACCACCCGCGCGGGCAGCCGTCGGGCGCGACCCGAGCGCCGCAACGGGCCTCGCGGGTCCGGCGTCCGAGCGCAAAAGGGCGCCCGCGCGAAAGCGCTGGCGCACGACCTGCTCCTCCCGCCCGCTCCGCCGGGGCCGAAAGGCCCTGGCGGCGAGCGGACCGCAAGGTTCCCGCGGGGCCGAAAGGCACTGCGAGTCGTCGCCGCCGCGGCTCCGACAGCAGCTCCAGACGCTCTTCGCCACGCTCACCCGATCGAAGGGATGCCGCCCCCCCCCTCCCCGGAGGCCACGACGGCCAAGTCGCGACCGCGGGCTGATGACGCCTCTGTCCTGGCGGGCGATCGGCCTCCCTAGCCATAGACCTGCCGCCTCCTTCGTCGCTTCGGGTGGCCCAACAAGGGGTCCAGCTGAAAGGGGGTGGTGCAATAGCTTTGGGGCAATTGGATTGCAAGCGTATTGCGCCGGAGAGTTCTATCGCATTGTGTTGCAAGTAACGTGTTGCACGCGAAAATCCAGCAATGCATCTGCGCCCCGGAGTGTACTGCACGCGCCAAGTGTATTGCAACCCCACACCTATTGCACCAAGTCTATTGCACCACCTTCTTGTCTCTGGATCCCCTTTTGGGTCAACCCGAGTTGCTGGCCTCGCGGCCGCCTGGTGCCGTGCGGGGCCCTTCCCGCGGCCAGGTCTGTCCCTCTCTCGTCCTCACCGTCTCCCCGCCGTCCACGCCCAGATGGCATACGGCGCAGCCTGTTCTCAGGCCAGCACGCGCAGGGCCCCGCTCGCCGTGCTCGCCTTCCTCCGCCGCGCCACTGCGCTCGAGGCCGCGACCGCCAGAAAGTGAGTCAATGTGCGTGTTCTTTCCACTGGCCCGGCGCGCCTGGCTGCTGCCGCCCGCCGGCTGCTCATCGTCGAATTCTTCGGCGTCTGAGCGTCCCTCCTTCCTCGTCGGCCTCCCCCTTCCCTCCTCGCATGCCGGCCAAATCGCTAGTTGGTGCCCCTACCTAGCTGTTACGCTGGTGCGGGTTTCGCCGCCTCGCTGCTTACGAAACAAGTTTTTTTTTCTTCCGAAGCACGCGTGCGGTCTGCCTCTGCCGCGCCGCGACGCAAGTGTGTGTGTGTGTGCGCGTGTGTGTGTGTGTATGTGTGCGTGCGTGCGTGCGTGCGTGCGTGTGTGTGTGTGTGTGTGTTTGTGTGTGTGTGTGTGTGTGTGTGTGTGTGTGTGTGTGTGTGTGTGTGTTTAGCTGCCTTGATACGCCCGTTTTGATACGCAACGCGCACCATGCTCAAAACGTCCTCGTCGATACGTTGCGTCGTGGCTCAGCGTATTGACCCACGCATCGCGTCATACCTACGCCTTAAGTCTCTACGTGTGGAGCTCCGTATCACTACGCTGCGCGTTGCGCGCTGCGTATCGGGGCAGCTAGGCGTGTGTGTGTGTGTGTGTGTGTGTGTGTGTGTGTGTGTGTATGTGAGTGTATGTGTGTGTGTGTGTGTGGGGTGGGGTGGGTGTATCAGAACTGCACTCACCAGCAGCGGGCGCGGCTGCCCGTGCCCCCGCCGGCCCCTCGTGGCCTCCCGGTCGCCAGCCCTCCGCAGGGCCCCCGGCAGGAGGCTCGGAGCCAGGCCCGTCTGCTCCTCCCGGATCTCCGATTTTTTTTTGGTTTTTGGTGTGTGTGTGTGTGTGCGCCCAGAGATCGGACGGCCCAACACATCTTGGAGCGGCGGGATGCGTCAAGAAAACGACTCAAGACGAAAAACGAGCCCTGGGGAAGTGGTCTGGACCTCCGGTGCCCACGCATCAAAAAACGGAGCGGCTGGATGTTTTTTTTGTGTGTGTCTGTATGTGTGTGTATGTGTGTGTTTGTTTGTCTGCTTGTTTGTTTGTTTGTTTGTTTGTTTGTTTGTTTGTGTGTGTGTGTGTGTGTTTAAGCGGCGTAGTTCTTCTTCGATGTCGGCCTCTGGGGAGTCGTTGTCAGGCCCTGGGGCCATCACAAACGGATCAGGGATGAACACCTGTCCGTTGGCCAGGGGTCAAACACCTCCGGGGCCGCGCATTGAGGACATCCCATCGTCGGATGTCTGGGTCGTGGAGCGGAGGTTGCAACGATTTGGCGCCCCACGCGTTTGTCCGAGGGCATGGCCGGCCTTTCGCCGGGTCGTGCACAGGTACTCCTACTTCATGGAGAGCGAGCTGCTGTCGGCGCGGAACCAGCTCCAGGAGCTGGCCTTCTTCTTCGTCCTGCTGAACGCGGGCTTCGAGATCCGGCTCAAGGAAGTCAGGCTCTATGTGCTCGTGATGGCGTCGCTGCCCGCCGCGTTCGAGCTGCTGGGCCTCACCCTCTACGGGGTGTGCGCCCAGGGGTACACCCTCGTGGAGAGCCTGGTCCTGGGGACCGTGCTGTTCTGCCTCGGGGAGGGCCTGGTGGTGCCGAAGATGGAGGAGCTCTCCTCGCAGTTCCCGGGGCATCCCATGCCGCGGCTCGTGCTGACCTGGGCGTCCCTTGAGGCCACCTTCGCCCTGACGCTTTTCGGCATCCTCACGGGCGTGTCGGACCCCGCGAACCACCCGCACGCGAACGTGGGCGTGCTGATCCTTGGCAGCGCAGTGCAGGTGACATGCACAGTAGCCGCAGGGGCAACGTTTGGTGCCAGCAGCGGCTGGCTCATCGCCAGGCGTGGCCAGCTGAAGTACAAGGGCAAGCAGGTCTTCATGGACACCACCGTGGAGGCTTTCTTGCTCATCCTCGGAGTTGCGCTCGTGGTGTACAGCTTGGGCGACCCAGACATCCTCTCGCTCGGTCTTGTGGAGGGAGACTCGCTTTTCCAGCCCGAGCTCTTCGTGATCGTTACCGGTTGCTTCTTTGCGCACAGCACCGACCCCGTCCTTCTCCAGGATGTCGGTTCTGCGGTGAGCGGCGTCTGGGTTTTCGGGAGCATCATCCTTTTCACGCTGCTGGGTAGCCGCACAGACATCGCCGACTTCGAGATGAAGACGATCCTCCAGGTGGTGCCCCTCATGACCACGGGTATGTTCCTCAGGTTCGTCGGCGTGCTCGTCGCCACCTGGCTCACGGCCGGGATGAGGGGCGGATGCCGCTGCGCACGGTGCGTCCAGGCACACAAGGCTTCTTTCGTCCCAGACGCGCTGTTCTGCTTCCTGTCCTCCCTCCCGCGGGCCACCATCCAGGGCGCCCTGGGCTCCCTCCCAGTGCAGCAGCGCTTCTTCCAGTACGACCCCAGCAGGCGGGAGGTGCAGGCCTTCGTGGCCGCAACGGCCAGGCTTTACATCTTTGTCTTCTCCATCCTCGGCGCCGTGCTGCTCGAGTTCCACGGCCCCAACCTCCTCCGTGTCGCCAGCCAGAGGCGCCCGTGGCCTGAACGGGGTGCGCCGCCGCCGCTCCGCGGTGGCCTCACCGGCCTCGTGGAGTGGCGGTGGTGGTGGCGGCACCCCTTCGCTGCTCGTAGTGACCCCGCGGGCTTGAAGGGCAGTTGCACGGTAGCCAGAACCCCCTGGCGGTGTTTTCGCGAGGCCATTGCCAGTGGGCTTGCGCCTGTGTCGCGACCTCCTCTCACGGGGGTCTGTAGCTACCTCGCAGACGTGCCTGTCGGCAGGTTGCCTCCAACTCGGCTGAGTGACCTGTGACTCGGCTGAGTTTCTCGTAACTCAGCGGAGTCACAGGCAACTGTGAGCACACCCTGTGGCTGAAATCTGCCCCGAGCCCCTCCCTGGCACTATACACGCCGGCTCTTCAAGCCGCGCCGGGGCGCTGCGGCGAGGCCCCCCTGGGGCGGCCGGCAGAGCCGGACGGAGCGCAGGGACCGTGTGCCACGGGCCCAGGCGTCCGACGATGCGTTTTTTTTGTTTATTCGGGCGCGACCTGCGGAGGTCCCGACCCCTTGCCTGGGGAGTTGAATGCGGAGGAGCACTGGGGCGTCGTGCACAGGCCGGCCCAGGTAGCCCAGGCTGGCCTCAGCGGGCCCCCCTGTGTATCGACTGGACGTAAGAGTGACCTTTCGCCGGAGTGACCTCTGGTGCGGGCACAGATGGGCCCCCAGATGGCTGAAAGCGAAGCAGGCGCAGCGGCTTGCGCGCCCAGGTTTGGTCCGCACGCGGCCCCCAAAGAGCCGCGCACCCAAGGTCACTCTGGCGTGTAGCCGAGAGTCGTCCCAACTGGCCTCGACAGGCCCCCTGAGTAGTCCGGGGCGGTCTCAACACCCCGGCGCCGCTGTCCAGCGGCGCCCCTGGGGCGCTCCGCTCCCCAGCGGTGAGGTGTTGAGACCGCCCCGGAGGCCAGCCGGGGCCACTCGTGGGGCCTGCGGAGGCCAGCCGGGGCTGCCGGACGGGCCGTCTGCGCGCAGCCCGAAGCCTTACTCCTCATGATGATGATGGTGATGATGATGATGTTGATGATGATGATGATGATGATGATGATGATGATGATGGTGGTGGTGGTGGTGATGATGATGATGAAGACTATGATGATGATGATGATGATGATGATGATGATGATGATGATGATGATGATGGTGCTGATGATGATGAAGATGATGATGCTGCTGATGATGACGACGATGATGATGCTGATGCTGCTGCTGATGATGATGATGATGAAACCGATGATGATGCTGCTGCTGATGATGATTATGATTATGATGATGCTGATGTCGACGATCATGATGCTGCTGATGATGGCATTGAAGATGATGATGAAGCTGCTGATAATGATGATGATGATGATGATGATGATGATGATGATGATGATGATGATGATGATGATGATGATGATGATGATGATGATGATAATGATGCTGCTGATGATGATGATGATGATGATGATGATGATGATGATGATGATGATGATGATGATTATGTCGATGGTGCTGCTGGTGGTGATGCTGTTGCTGCTGCTGCTGATGCTGCTGTTGCTGCTGATGATGTTGATGCTGATGCTGCTGATGATGGTGATGATGATGAGGTTGATGATCGTTATGATGACGATGATGTGATCCTGATGCTGATGACGATGATGATTATGATGACGATGCTGATGATGTTGATGATGCTGATTAGTATGATGATGCTACTGATGATGATGATGATGATGATGATGATGATGATGATGATGATGATGATGATGCTGCTGCTGCTGCTGATGATGATGATTTGCTGCTGTTGCTGCTGATTATGGTGCAGCTGCTGCTGCTGATGACGATGATGATGACACTGACGATGACGATGACGATGATGCTGCTGCTGCTGATGATTCTACTGATGCTGATGCTGCTGCTGATGCTGATGATGATAATGATGATGATGTTGATGCTGATGCTGATGAGTATGATGACGGTGATGATGATGCTGCTGCTGCTGATGAGGTTGATGTTGATGCTGATGCTGATGCTGATGATGATGATGATGATGATGATGATGATGATGATGATGATGATGATGATGATGATGATGATGATGATGATGATGCTGATGATGATGATGATGATGATGATACTGCTGATTATGATAATGATGATAATGCTGATGATGATGCTGACGACGACGATGATGGTGCTGATGCTGCTGCTGCTGCTGATGATGATCTTGTGTTTGAAGGTTCATCAGTTTCGCAAGGTATAAATGATACCCAGGACTTCCATGCCATCCGGGTGTCTCGCACGAGCTGCAGAAACGAGGGCTGCTAGACACTCGGGCTCTCGCGGAACGTAGGCTGAGCCATTCGTATCACGACCGAGTCCGTCTCGTATGGCGCTGGGGCCCGACAACGGGCCCCCTGCGGCCCAGAATCGGAGCGTCCACGGGAGAGCGGTGAGCACTAGGGGTAGTGGATGTGTCGCCGCGCCGTTGGTTCCGACGTGTGGCCCTCATTCTTTGAGAGGGCGCCTCGGCCACCAGGGCAAACTCCGCCTCGGACGCAAGACTCGCCGTGGGGTTTGCCGCGGCGCCGGCGTTGTCTACTCGGACGCGGGACGCAGGATTTGGCGTGGCGTCGGCGTCGTCCACTGGGGCGGCGTCGAGAGCCAGCGGCGCGGCGACGCATCATGGGCGGGGCCATGACGCACCGCCCCCTCTCCCCGGCCGCCTTCTTCTCACCACCCACCAAACCACCCCAACCCGACCCGAAGGCTCAGATGTACCCTCGATCTCTAGTGGGGGGGGGGGGTCCGGGAACGTCGACAAAAGCACACATGTGGAACCCATACCCCCCCCCAACCCGAAATTCGGGTCTTCGGGTTGGGTTGGGGTGGTCGGGTAGGTAGTCATCTTCGGCGCGCCCGAGAAGTCGAGGAAGCACGCTGGGATGGAGCCGCGCTGCCCGCCTGGGGTTCTGTATGGGGAGAGCGCCGCCGCCCGGCGGCGGCCTCCGTCGCGGGCATCCGAGGGCTTGGTTCTTTGAAGTCGGGCACGCCCCCCTACAGGAGGAGCACTCAAGAACAGGAGAACGATGATCTGGTGACGATGTTCTGTGGCTTTTTTTGACTCGCTTTTTTTTTTTTTGTTTTGACTTTTTGGAGCCATTTTTCCTCGCGTGTCCGCCTGTGGGAGAACATGCCCGACCGAAGGCCCGGCTTCTTCCGAGACGCTCGACCTGTGCCGAGGCCTCCGATGCCGATGGGCGGCGAGCATGTCTGGGTACGGTAGGTTGTCGTGTCGACCGGCGGCGACCCCGCCGCCGACGTTCAACGTTGAACGCCGACGGCGGCCCAGAATCGGTCGATGTTGAACGATCGGACGTTGCGGAGACGGCCGATCGTTCAAGGTTGAACGATCCAGCGCGGTGTCGGGAACCAACGCCGGGGTCGACACGACACGAACCTGCAGTAGGCATGCGCCCTCCTGGCGCGACCAGGACAGAGCACTGCGCACCCACCCTGGGCCCGGAGCGGGCCCCGCCGGGGGTCGGTGCAGGCGTGCACCTCGCGCCGCCCGAGGCCGTGGGGCGCGGGGGGAGGATCGGCGGCGAACCCGGGCGGGCCTTCCCCGGGGGCTCGGAAGGGCCCTGGCCTGCCGAAGAGTGCTCGGAGCCTTCCCCCGAAGGCACCGAAGGCTCCTCGGAGGGCGCGGGGGCTTCCGCGAAGAACCCGCCGCCTTCTGAGAAGGCCTCCCCTCCTCCTCACTTCGCCCCCTCGCTCGCCGCCGCGAGGCCCCTGATGACGAAACCCACGACGTAGAGGCCGTCTGTCTAGAAGACCGCGCTGCCTGGGTCCCGCCCCCGTCGCCCTCGTCTTTGCTCCTCGCCCTGCAGCGCCCCGGAAGTGCCGCCCCCTTCCTCCAAGCTTGTCTTCTCGTCCTGATTTTTTCCTGACGGCCCGCCAGAAGCCTTCCGCCCTGATTCAGGAGGGGATCAGACACACAGACACAAATCACCGTCGATCCCGAGGAAACCATGGGCAAATATGGGAAGTGTGGGGGGGGAAGACAAGAGCTAAAAAAACATGGGAACATATGCGGAATCCAGTCATTTGTGTGTGTGTGTGTCCCAGGGCCCCTTCGTTGCTTTTTGGGGCCTGTGGCTCCCGGGGGCCACTGCCCGGGCACCCGGCGGCCTGCCCGGGTGGACCCGGAGCCCAGCCGGAGCGCCCCCTGGCGAGGCGCGGCGGCCAGAAGAGCCCCCCGAGGGCGGAGGAGCCGCTCCTCACCGGGGGCGCGTTCCATTACTCGCAGATAGGGGGCCTTTTGAGACGCCTCCTCCGACCTTGAGGTCCGGGTGTTGCAGTCTTTCCACCCCGAAGGCGATTTCGCCCAGTCACGGGCCCTTGGGCTATCGCAGATCGATCTGGCTTGATCCACCCCAGGGGATTTCGCCCAGTCACGGGCCCCAGGGCTAGGGGGCCACATGCGAACCCTGCCCCTGTCCCCCACAATTTCTGAGGGGGAGGGTGGGGTTCACTTCGCTCGGGAGCTCCTCTAGGCCTCCCAGATGGGGTTGGGGTAGATGGGGTCGGAGGATCGCGCCGCATCGCCCATGCATCGGCAATGTGGCCAGATGTGAAGCAAGGTTTTCTCCGCGCCGATGGCGCCGATGCATCGCCGACGTCGACGATGCATCGCCGGTGCATCGCCGATACATCGCCGATGCATCGCCGATGTATCGGCGATGCGGCGCGATCCTCCGACCCCATCTACTCCGACCCCATCTAGGAGGCCTCTACACTCGCAAATCCCCGAAACACATATGTCTGCCTCTTCTGTAATGTCTCGTAAATCCCCCGCGGCGGATCCAGGCCATTTGCAAGTGTAGCTACCGTTCCCTGCAGATCTGGGCGTTGCGCTGTTTTCGCCGCGGGCGCTGTCGCCCGGATGGCGCTCCCTGGGACCCGCTCGGGCCGGTCTGGCTCGAAAAGGGGCGCAGGACGATGGTGTCTGGGGCTCCAGGCCTGGGTGTTCGGAGGTTGATAGACCTCTTACCCTGACACGTCGACTAAGGAATTGGCCGTTTTCGGTTCGCGAGAGGGCGTCGCGGCCGTCATTTTTGCGGGTCCAGGTCAGTCGGTTTCGGTCCTAGGCCGCTTTCACTAAGGGGAGGTTTACTAAAAGGAGGTTTGTCCACCGCCGAGTTGTTGGCCCTGCTGCAGTTTTTCTTTCGTGACGCCGGATCTCAGGGGAACTGGCGAGAGCGCCTGACAGTTTCGAGCCTCGGACCTTCGAGCCTCGACACCTTGGACCCTCGACCCTTCGAGCCCTCGACGCCTCCGAGCCCTCGACGCCTCCGAGCCCTCGACGCCTCCGAGCCCTCGACGCCTCCGAGCCCTCGACGCCTCCGAGCCCTCGACGCCTCCGAGCCTCCTGCTCCTCCTTCGAGCAGGCGCGCGCTCTTCGCCTGCGAGCGCGCGGCCGACGCCGCAGAGCTCGACGGCCGGGGCCTGCCAGCGGACCCGCGCGAGGCGCGCGCGCGCGGGGGGGGGGGGGGGGCAGAGCGGCATGAGATCCTCGGGCGGCGCGCCCAGGGGAGGAGGAGGAGGAGGAGGAGGAGGAGGAGGAGGAGGAGGGAGGGAGGAGGAGGGAGGAGGAGGAGGAGGAGGAGGAGGAGGAGAGGAGGAGGAGGAGGAGGAGGAGGAGGAGGAGGAGGAGGAGGAGGAGGAGGAGGAGAGGAGGGAGGAGGAGGAGGAGGAGGAGGAGGAGGAGGAGGAGGAGGAGGAGGAGGAGGAGGAGGAGGAGGAGGAGGAGGAGGAGGAGGAGGAGGAGGAGGAGGGGGAGGAGCGGGGCGAGCTTCGGGGGCGAGGCTCCGGAAGCCCGAAACCTCCGGGTGTTCTCGCTGGCTCCTGGAGGCCTTCCGGCCTCGGGGTGCCTTGTCCAGCGGCTGCTCCTCGTCGAGAGCTCTCCGGGGGGGCCCGGATCTCGCCTCGAACGGCCGCTAGGGGCCCGAGTGATGGCCCCGAAACCACCGTGGGCGGGCCTTTCCAGAAGGCTCGGAGAACTTCTGGCCTTTTGGGAAGCCTCCTCCGACCTTGAGATCCGGGTGTGGCAGTTTTTCCACCCCGGGGGATTTCGCCCAGTCACAGGCCCTTGGGCTATCACAGATCGATCTGGCTCAACCCACCCCAGGCGATTTCGCCCAGTCACGGGCCCCAGGGCCATCACAGATCGATCTGGCTCAAAACACGCGGCAGAGCCTTGGGGCCCGGGGCTCCGTTCGCCATTTTTCGCGATGCTGTTTCGCAACGTCGCATCTCAGGGGACGCCTCAGAGGGCTTCTCAGGAGGCAGGGGGGGTCTCTCAGAAGCCCAACGCCGTCTGAAAAGGCCCCCTCAGGAGAGAGAAAAATCACAGACACAATTCATCGTCGACCCCCCGGAAAACATGGGAAAATATGGGAAGTGAGAGGAAGACGGGAATCCACAAAAAATTGAACATGCGGGGAATCCTGGGATTTGTGTCTATTTCTTTGTGTGTCCCAGGGCCCGCCCCTCCAAGGGGGCTTCTCAGGAGGCCAACGCTTTCTGAGAAGGCCTCCCCCCATTTCGCTTCCCCCCTGGTCGCCATGTTTCGCGATGCTGTTTCTGTTTGGCAGCGTCGCATTATCAGGGAAGCCGCAGAGGGCTTCTCAGGAGGCCGGGTGGCGTTCCAGAAGCCCGAGGCGGAGGAGGAGGAGGAGGAGGAGGAGGAGGAGGAGGGGAGGAGGAGGAGAGGAGGAGGAGGAGGAGGAGGAGGAGGAGAGGAGGGGAGGAGGAGGAGGAGGAGGAGGAGGAGGAGGAGGAGGAGGAGGGAGGAGGGATGAGGGAGGAGGAGGAGGAGCAGGAGGAGCAGGAGGAGCAGGAGGAGGAGGGAGGAGGAGGAGCGCCTCCTGAGGAGGCCTCCCCCCATGTCGTTTCCCCCCGCGGCGCGCCGCGGAGGCCCGCAGGCGGCACCTCCTGCCCAGGCCTCCAACGCGGAGCGTCGCCAGTGGCTCGGGGTTGGTTTCGGGCAGCTGCGGGGCGTCCTGGCTCGCCCGCGCATGGTTCATGTCTAATTCTTCGAAGGTTCTTCGATCTTTTTGGGGGGCCAAGATCCTGTCATTTCTGATTGTTCTATCCTGGGCCTCTTCCTGGCCGCTAGGGGGTCAGGGACGAGAAGGAACGAGCACAATCAGACATGAGCACGATTAGAAATGAACGACGTGTACAGGCCCACCAGAGCATGCTCTGAGAGCCTTCCGTGGTCTGCACGAAATCGGCGCTACCCCAGCAGGCTTCTACTGTATGTGCGTCGCCCCGTCAGGGGCGACGCGCGCATCGAGAAATCTTATAGTGTATGCGTCGTGGCGGGCGCTTTCTGGCCACACCGCTCGGGAAACGACGTACGACTAGATAGGTATACTATATGTTCGGGTCGGACGCGCGCCTCCAAGGAGGGCATATAGTATTAGTATGTCTCTGTGCGGCCCACGAAAGGTTCTCAGAGCATTTCTGGCTGGGGCTGTCTGGTTTCAACACGTCGGCTTGATGCTTTAAGGGCATACTTCATGTTCTTAGAGCATTCTCTGGGTTCTCAGAGCATGTCGTGGCAGGCCAAAAGGGGTGCCGGGACGGTCGGTCCCTGCTCAATGGTTGCGATCGAACGATCTGCGCTATCGGGGCGCCGCGGTCGTTCGAGGCTGAGCTGTCCACGCGGTGTCACGACGCGAGGCGCCCCAAACCCCGCGAGGTCGACTCTGCCCCCCAACTCGCCTCGTCAGCTTCCCACCCCAACGCGCGACCGCTCAGACCCTCCAGCGTGCCGAGGGGTTCAATCTAGGCCTCTTTGATTGGGGTCCGGGTAGATGGGGTTGGAGGATCGCGCCGCATCACTCCGGCGCATCGGCGATGCGGCTCGATGCGGAGCCCGTTCTCCTCCACGCTGGCGTCGCTGATGCATCGCCGATGAATCGGCGATGCATTGGCGATGCGGCGCGATCCTTCGACTCCATCTGCCCAGACCGCATCCGGGAGGCCTCTCAAGGCGGGCCCGACGAGGTGCGCTGTTTCGGCCGGGCGTCTCCCTGCCGCTGCGGCTCTCCAGGGCCCCGGGGGGCCCTCACGGGGAGAGCCCCTCGGCCCGGGCAGGGCGCGGCGGCCTCCCCGGGGCCGCGCCCGGGCCTCCCGCGTGGGTGGCCACTGCGTAAGGGAAACAAGTCCCGAGCAGAGCAGCACGCACCACGAAAACCGACGACGCCGACGACGACGCCGACGCCGGCGCCGAGGCCGACGCCGACGCCGACGCCGACGCCGACGCCGACGCCGACGCCGACGCCGACGCCAACGCCGACGCCGCCGCCGCCGCCGCCGCCGCCGCCGCCGCCGCCGCCGCCGCCGCCGCCGCCGCCGCCGCCGCCGACGACGACGACGACGACGACGACGACGACGACGACGACGACGACGACGAGGCGCGCAGACGAGCCGCACCGGAGCACGGCTTTGGGCAGGGGCCCACCCGGAGCGAGGTTCGGTTGGGCAGCGCAGCGTGGGGTGGTGCTGCAGCCTCGGGCCTCCCGCGCGCGGCAGAAGTGCCGCGCCCTCGGCTTGCGGGGGGGGGCGCTCGGAGCAGCGCCTCGGCAGGCGGAGGGGGTGAGCGCAGTCCCCCCGCAGAGGAAGGAGGGGCAAACCTTCCCCAAGGGCACCCCTGCATCCTTCTGGACTTCGTGGGGCCTGTCCCTCTGCAGGAGGAATCTTCAAAAATAGTAAAAAAAGAGTTGTCTGGGGACGATGTCTTAACTGTTTTTGACCATTTGGGGGGAACTTTTTGAGTATCGTTTATTTCTCGCCCAAAATCCTCCTGAAGGGGGACGCGCCCGACTTAATTCTAGACCTCCGAGATGGGGTCCCAGTGGATGGGGCCGGAGGATCGCGCCGCACCGCCGATGCACCGCCGATGCTGCTTGATGTGCAGCCCGATCTGCTTTACGTCGACGTCACCGCTGCAGCACCGAAGTCGACGATGCATCTGCGGTGCATCGCTGGTGCATCGCCGATGCATCGCCGATGCATTGCCGATGCATCGGCGATGCGGCGCGATCCTCCGACCCCATCTAATCCGACCCAATCTAGGCCTCTGATCCTCGCCTCATCGGTCCATCCTTGACCACCGCCGTTGGTCGCGCCCCGCCCTGAAAGCGTCGAATCGGGCGCCCGAGGCCCTTGCACCCTCGTCGCGCAGCCCTGCTGTCCGGGTCGGCTGTACCTGCAGGGGGCAGTGATTGCAGAGAGCGGGGAGCGCGGTGCACGATGCCGGAGCGGGTCCCGACATGCCTGCAAGAGGCCAGGCGGGACACCGTGGCAGGAGGCCAAACTCGAGCTCGTGCGGGAGACCGTGACCACACGGTAGGCCATGCGAGGTGCGGGAGGCCCCGTGGGAGTCGTTCGAGAGACCACGCGGGGAGGCCATGCGGAGGGCCATGCCAGGAGACGGTGCGGGAGGCCATGCGGGCGACCGTGCGAGCGAGGCGATGCGGGGGGCCATGCGGGAGGCCATGCCGGAGAGCACACGGGAGACCATCTGGGAGACTCGGCGGGGTATGATGTTGGAGGCTAGACGGGAGACCATGCGGAGGGCCAAGCAGGAGACCGCACGAGAGCCGACCTGGGTACAGCAGGAGTACGTCTGTCCGAGTAAAGCCGGAGGCCACATCACGTAGGAATGCAGTAAGATAGGAATGAACTTGATTCACCTCCTCCTTCTTCCCCTTTCCCTCTTCTTCTTCTTCTTCTCCTCCTCCTCCTCCTCCTCCTCCTCCTCTGGGAGTTTACGACTGTAGGAGGCCGAGGTAAAGGGAAACCACGGTGGTAGGAGACCACGATGAGGGGAGACCGCGATTGGAGGTCATGGTGATGGGTGGCCTCGGAAGGTTTGCCCGCGACGGGAGGCCACGATGCTCGCAGACCACGACACTGGGTGACCACGACGATAAGAAGCCACGACAGCAACCCACTACGGTGGGGGCGTTGGTGGAGGAATGGGCCCATGATGCTGCAGACCCTGGAGGATCCCTTAGCTGATGAGGGCGGCGGTGACATCCATGGCCGATCCACGATTGGAGTTCCACTGGTTTCCCGACCCTGGATTTTGCACCCAAGGTTAAGTCGGGCCTGTCCCCCTATAAGGGGATTTTCGACGAAAAACAAAAAATACAACAAACATACAAACAAGAATAGTTTAAAAATAGTCTGGGGACTATTTTTTGAGTATTTTTGACCTTTTTAGGGTACTTTGGGAGTATTTTTAATTTTTCGTCGAAAATCCCCCTGTAGGGGGACACGCCCGACATAAACCTAAGGGTTCCTTATCCAGCACCCCCACCGTACGATGGGAGCCCACCGCCACAGGAGCCCACCGTCACGGGAGACCATATCGGGAGACCGTGCGCGGGAGACCGTACGCGGGAGACCGTACGCGGGCTGCTGCGCAGCAGCACCGGCTCCAGATCCGGGTG